AATATGCCGACGATACAACATTATACACTAGCTGTTCTACACCGCAGATCACATCTCAAGCGGAAAGCATGAATGCAACCCTGGCAGGCCTCGGCGCCTGGTCAAATGACTCAAACTTGGCCCTAAATTCTAAGAAAACCAAGGCCATTCTTATCTCAACTCCACAGATGGCTCATGTTCACTCTCTCGGAAATCTGGAGTTGGGATTAGAAATCTCCGGTAAACCACTGGAACGTATAAATGTTACAAAACTCCTGGGAGTACACATTGACTCAAATCTTAAATGGGAATTTCATACCAATTTTATTCTTAAATCTTGTTATGCGACTCTGAGAACCTTAAGAAAAATAAGGAACTTTACTAATTTTAAACTACGGAAACATTTGGTAGAAACATTAATTCTGTCTAAAATAAGCTACTGTGACATTGTTTTTTATCCACTACCAAAGTTCCTCCCAGCTAGACTACAAAGGCTCCAGTTCGCTATGGCTAGTTTCATCACTTGTAAATACGTAAACAGTATATCTACCATTTTGGATCTTGACTGGCTACCTATCCTGGAGCTAAGGGACGCTACTAAAGGCTATTTTTAAAGCACAGTATTCTGATAACTGGCCCTCCCATTTAAATTTGCAAGTCGTTAAACCCGTTGGGCATCTCCGTTCCAGTGTTGCTCCAAGGCTTTATGTTCCATTTGTACAAGGATTCAGCATTCAGCAGCTATGATTTTTAACGAACTGCCAGCAAATATAAGGAATTGCACAGATTTTAAAGAATACTGCAGGCTCTGCAAGGCGTTCTTAAAGGCGCGCGCTTTGTCTTCCACCAACCAATATATTCTACATATTTACTTTCATCTATAGTTTTTATTACAATTTAGTTATTCATTATAATTCGGTTTTAATATTAAATATTAGTATCGTAGGCCTTCACAGATGAAGAGCCACACCTTTTATTTGGATATACTGTGAACAAACCGTTATTATTATTGTTCTTATTATTATTATTATTATTATTATTATATATTCGTGGACGAAGAAAAGCTCTTTTTAAAGGGCTCGCAACTAGGGCTTGCTCTTACGCTAGTCTAAGTTTGGAGCTGTGGCTGAACGTCGTTATATTTTGAGAAGCCTAGAAAGGTTCCCTTGTTTTTCTCACGCTTACAAGCGTATGTTCCATTAAATCCATGCAGACGTGACCACGAAACGTATGTTCCAATTATTTATTGCAATGTGCTAGGTCAAGTTTTCACATGCTGTGCGACTTATGTCGCGACTAAAACTCGTGGCAAATTTAGCGCAACAAAAAATAAATAAACAGGTTTACAACGCAGCTTCCTTTCATATATAATGGTTCATTCATAACACTCAGTAAAGGAAAAAAATCAACACTTAGTTTTAGTCACGTGCGTTATCGTCTTGGGGATGAATGAGCCAAGTGTTTGAATGTCTTTGTACAAACTTCGTGCAACATGTCCTGACATCCGTTCCGGGTTTTAGGATTTGGGGTTCCGTCATTCCATCATTCCAGTATTCCGTCATTCGGCATTCCTTCGTTTCGGCTTTTAGGGTCGCCCGCAATTATGAGCTTCCACTGGCCGCGAAACTTCTATGTACTCCACTTTTCACCACTGGATCGGATTGATTAGTATTTGATAACTGGAACGTGAAAATTTATCGGTTTCAACGGTTTTGCACGCGATTTTCGGTTTTGATCGACTCTATATGTGGTTTTGCGGTTTTG